GAGTAGAAAAATGACATGCCGTGGTCAGATATTACTTATGGGCTTCAATCTAGAGCAGGTTCCCCACCCCTTCTCTGGAGGAGAGACTGAAACAGGGGAAGACTTGCAGCAGGAATACCAATTGAGAATCCATCCCAATAATCTAGTCAAGAAGTGACGAGGGTGCCGACCCATGGTGGTCACTGTGTGGGTAGAGAAAAGGGGTCAGATGCAAGAGCTGTGATAGACAGAAAAGCCAACTTTGGTGTCACTAACTTTTCTGGGTGTGTAGTTGTGAGACATGAAAGATAAAGGCTCTTTGTGCGATCAAGCCTAAACAAAGGGCAACTTCTGCCCCAGTGAGCCCCGGAATGGGGACAAAGGTGGACAGTCTTCAGTAGGTGAGTAGGAGTGGGAGAGCCTGGGCCCCAAGGGTTTCCGGCCCCCTAATAATCCCTTGTGCCTTTCTTCCCTAACTTTATGGAGCTATCATTATGCTATAACTCCTGGGAACAGGAGCTAGACAAGTGGTTGATTATCCCCATTTCTTAGAGTGGGAAAAACTGAACGGACCACAAAAGCGGCTAGTGAAGTGGCAGGATCTGACGGGACAGCTGAATCTTCCAGCTTAGAGACATCTACATCCCTAGCCCTGAGTTCTTCCTTCAAAATGAGCATTTCCTCCTTATATCCTGTAAACCTCTTTGTTCCCACACATTTCTGGACCTTTTGGCTTTCAGGCTTGGAGAAGAGGAACCCAGGAATCGTAAGCACTGGCTTAGTGTCCCTCCGCCTGTGTAAAATGGATTTTTTGCTTGTGAGAACCCTCTGGGGCCTCATTGTTTCTTTCTTCTCTCCCTAGTCGGAATCGCTAAGCTCTTAGCTAGGTGTTTACCCCCTCCCCTCTTCTCCCTCTTTGGGGACTGAGTCATAGGTTGGAGATGCGTTTGAGCAGAGCCGAGAGGCTGGCTGTAATTTGAGGCTGGCTGTGCTTCTCCCCAGGAATGTTTACGGGGCTACCTGCCTCTTGATTAGGCCACGTAGATTTTCCCCTCAAGAAGATGACTCTTCTACTCTTGCCTTGGAGGTATGGGATCATTGGCCCTCCTAGCTAATGGGCTATTGTCCCTAAAAGTCCAGGTCGGAGCGTTCTCTGTGTCAGGGTCGGGCACCATCTGCTTGAGAATATGCACGCCATATGGTATTACAGGGATTATTCCAGAGTGGGGTACTTTCGTGTTTGAGTGAGCTGTAGGGAGGAGAGCTGGGATGCAGCCTGTTAATAGAATACAGTCTTCGGGGTTATCTCTGATCCTGATGGATGATGGTCTCTTTCTAGCCATTTGTTTCAATGCCTTTTGTTACCATTTTACTGTTCAGTCATCTCAGTCATGTCTGGCTCTTCCCGACCCCATTTGGGGTTTTCTTGGCAAAGATACTGGAGTGGTTGGCCATTTTCTTCTCCAGCTCATTTTATAGGTGAGGAAACTGAGGCAAACAGGGTGAAATGACTTGCCCAGGGTCACACAATTAGGCAGTGTCTGAAGCCAGATTTGAACTTGGGTCTTCCTGACTCCAGGGCCAGCACTCTATCCATTGTACCACCTAGCTGCCCCAGGTTTTAATATAACTCTCCTTGTATCTGCTCTGCAAACAGCATCATGGTGTGGTAGAAAAAGAACCAAATTTGAATTCAGAAGACCTGGTGTTCTATAATCTCGAATGAGTCAGTGACCTCCCCACCAGCCCCAATCCCCGTAGACATCCTCCCAGTTCCCTTATCAGTAAAATGAGGGAATTGGATTGAGTCATTTCCAAGGTCTCTTTTAGCTGCAAATCCTATTGTTCCTATAAAGCAAATGGATGAGGCCGAGACTCTCTCTTGTAGAGGAGCTGAGGAATACAGAGGTGGTCATAAGGACATTGAAACTCTTAGATTCTCCCTAGTCTGGCCCTCAGAGTGCTTGCATCTTGCTCAGCATGTGGCCATCGTGGGAGTGGCTTCTGTACATCCCCATTGCACCTACCAGTGAGATCTGGCATGGTAGGTGGAAAACTCCTGTGGGTTGTCCCGAAATGCCTCCCTTCTATCTCCCTTAGCAACCCCTTCTGTGACAACCAGCAAAGTGGGTTTATTTACCAGCCCTGAAAGATTAACCAAGACAAAGAGGGAACAGAGAACATTATTTCAACTTCTAGGTTAGGGATAGTGAATGAGGAGGGGGGTGGATACCTCTTGAGAAGAAATGAATAGATTCTGGGGTGTAATTTGAGACCTGTGTTGAAGTCCTGAGTAATAGGGAGGGTGGGAAGGGGAAGTTAGACTGGATTTTAAGGGCAAAGGAGCAGTTGGTGATATTGAAAGAGAAACTTCCTAGAATCTTATCTTTTTTTGGTGTCCCCCCCCCCAATTTAAAGAGACAGCTGGACAATAACCACATAAAAAGTCAGTGGAGAGAAGTTGGGGAATATTTGGAAACCCAAGCAATTCTCATCCTTCTGGGTGGTTTTAAGTGTTGTGTCCTAACCAGAATCAGCAGAATGGATGGGGTGACCCCACAGGGCCCCTCCTACCACATTTCTTTTCTAATCCGGAGGGGCTGGTTGTGGACCAAAAAATTGTACTTGGCCCTGGTGGCCGGCAGATAGCACTTTTGTTTTTTCCTGCTGACTGGGGATGCCCCGGCATTCCCTAACTGCCTACAGGGAAGAAGAAATGAATTTGGATCGGAGAGCATGTTTGTGTCCGTGGGGGAAAAAGAGTTGGCAGCAAGTTTAGCTACTTTGAAATTGTTTCCTTCTCATCTTTTCATAACTAGGTTTATGAACTGGAAGTCGCAGCTGAATATTAGACACTGCTGCTAAGACCGCAAACCAATTCGAGAGTTGGGCGGGACTTTAGAGGCCCATAGGGACGCAACCTAGAAGCCTCGCTCATGATTGATCATCTTTGCCTTTTTGGGGAGCCCCCTACCGCCTGCATTCCAGAGACATTCAGGGATTTGACCAAGGTTTCAGTTCAGTAGTGAGAACCAGAAGGAACCCAGGACTTTTGGTTGCCAGCATGTCGCTGTTTTCAACATACCGTGTTGCTCTCTTCTGTCACCACACTCTGCCTTTCGTCTCTCAAACACTATCCTCCTACCAATCATTCTGTTCTTGTGTTATTTTCTAACTCGAGATTTTGCTGAAGTAGCTTTTTAAATTTTTCTGTATTTGCAGAAAAAGTGCTAGTTTGGAGAGAGGCTTGATTCCTAAAGAAATCATTCACTTTTTCTCAAGGTTCATTATTGTTAGGATAATTTCTTTTTCTGAATTTAATGAATGTCTCTCCCTCCCAAAAGAGCGACCATTTCCATATATAAAGTAGCATAGAAAAACAAGATTATATGTAAAATGGTGAATCTTTATTATGTACAGCTTACTTTTCAAAATCTGTAATAAATTCAGCATGTTATTTTCAGAATTGTCCTGCTTCTCTGTTTCTTCTGAATTTCCTTCTTCAAAAACATGCTTCAATGACCCTCTTTTGTTTTTGGAGCAACCGACACTATGGTTTCTTTCCACTAAACCCCTCCCCCCCCAATAAATAATGAAAAAATCCTTGTAGCAAATAAATGGTCAAGTCCAACAAATCCATACATTTGTCATGTCTCCTTCTGCACCTTGAGTCAGTCAGTCCTCTGCTGGGAGTTGGGCGGCATGCTTCATCATTGGTCCTCTGACATCGTGGCTGGTCGCTGAGCTGATCAGAGTTCTTAAGCCTTCCAGAGCTGTTTTTCTTTACAGTGATGTTATCGCCATGTAAATTGTTTCCCCAATTTTGCTTACTTCACTCTTTTTCAGTTCATGCTGCTCTTCTCAGGTTTCTTTAAAACTTTCTTTTACATAGGATGATTTCTGTGTGGCAAATGATGGATATGGGTATCACATTCAAGTGCCCCCTATTATTTTACATTAGAATTTAATCTAGAAATATTCCTAATGTTTGATGTTTACACTCAATACCATTTCAAGACCTTCTATCAGGATGGGAGACTCAATCCAGAATGGGCAGGTGAGAGGACCAGAACATTTCTTTTCCTTGGAATGTCTGTCAGATCATGGAGATGAACATGGTTACCTCTCTCAGAAAGACCTTCCACCAGATATGGTTTCTGGAGACTGGTCTGAGCCAGGGCCATATTGGAGCCATGTGGTACCTAATCTCTTCCATTAAGGCATAGTGAACATTCTCAGACTCACTCTTCAGAATGATCCATGAGGTGATCTTCTTGAAGACATGTATATGTATATTTTAGGCAATCGGGGTTAAGTGACTTGCCCAGGGTCACACAGCTAGTAAGTGTCAAGTGTTTGGTCTGAGGCCAGATTTGAACTCAGGTCCTCCTGACCTCAGGGCTGGCACTCTATTCACTGCGCCACCTAGCTGCCCCTTGAAGACATATTTTCAAGACATATGTCTTGAAGGCAGAGAATATCTGGGATTCTGGCAGCCAGATTTTCCTCTTTTGTCATGGCCCAGTCTCCTTCCTTCCTGATGCTGTTTCCTTTCCCTCTGTCCCTCCATGACTGCATGGAAATATATCTGCTATTGTGGGCTCAGGGTTATTTTTCCCTACAAACGCTTCTAACCAAGCCTCAGGAAGACCGTGTTTTTGGAAGTAGAGGGAGAAGCCTACCAAAGGAAAATCTGAATCTTTGCTGATGTTGTTCAGTTTCAGTCATGTCGACCCTTTTTGACTCCTTTTTGTGCTGATCCTTGACTTATTATAACCTGATCTTCTAGTGGGAAGGATGTTGGGTTTGAGTTCTGTCACTGAAATGACGTTGACATCTTGTTGAGATTCTAAAATTGACTTGACGTTAAGTTTCTTTGGTGAGGAAAGTCAGAAGAATATTTCAGATATTTTGAGGAACAGATTTTCTACATTGGTGCTATGCTGAGAACCATCCATTCTGTGCTAGTTAATTTGCTTTGGTTATGTTTTATTTGAACCTCTCCCCTTCTCTTCCTTTAGGGAGTTGGGAAGTCCTACACAATGGTGTCTAGCAGATCAGCTGGTCATTCCCTGGCATCGGAGCTGATAGAGTCTAATGATGGGCATGAGGAAATCATCAAGGTAAATACTGTCCCCCTTCCCTATCACCCTCCCTTCTCTCCCCACGTTTCACTGAAGGTCAGAAGAATGGCAAGGGGACTGACGTTGCAAAAAGCAATCTTGCAGTTAGAAAGTGGGAAGAACTTCCAGGATCGGAGATGCTGGAACAGACGGCCACCTCCTCTGGAGATCTCCAAGACAAGAGCCGGTGGTGACCTGGCTGGCATGACTTGGGTGCAGTACAGGACTGTAGCGGGGGAATGTATTAGATGACCTTCCCAAGTTCCCTCCAGATCTTACATGTTTATTGAAAAACAGGTACTGGGGGGCAGTTGGTGGACCTGATTTGATTGTGATTCTTTGTAACTAGAATGGTTTCATTCTCCAACTATAGGTTTACTTGAAGGGGAAAGCTGGTGACAAAGTCATCCATGAGAAGAATATCGATCAGCTGAAAAGTGAGGTTCAGTACATCCAAGAGGTAGGCAGCCTTTTCTTCCTCATTGTGGAGGGAATTGCTTTCCAGTAAAGTTCTACCAGATTGAAAGCTGCTTGAGAGAAAAGCCTATCTTATACTTTATACTTCCCACCATGTTAAGTAGATGTGTATGGAATGAATGAATGAAAGAACCAGCTTTAGAATGTGAGTAGAACCAGGGCTTTGGGCCAAGTACAACCTCCCACTGTGTGTGCCCCACTTGGCTTTTATGTTTTTAGCCTCTCTTTCCTCTTCCCAACCCCAAGTCTTTCAAGCTTGCATGAGCCTGTCAAAGTTCACTCTTTGTGGTGTTGGGCGTTTTTAGTGCTTAGCTGCTTGATTCCCTTCACTCTTGGGTGATGATAAACTTTTTCTCCCTTCCACTCCCCAAATATCCCTAATACTCTCTCCCTAATCAAGTAAAAGCCATGCCTGTCACTATTGACCCTGCAGAAGTCAAATTAATCGGTAGATGTCTATTGAGTATTCATTCTGTGCTCAGGATTATGCCAGGCATATATATTATCTGGCTATTGGTTTGAACTATCTTTCTGTTCTCTGTAAAAATCATTTTTTTAAAGGCATGGATTAAGGCTTGGGTTATTTTCTGAAAAGAACTGGGATGAGGTTAGATGAGAGGCATCATTGGAACTTGAGAATATAATTTAGAACAAGTCATTTCACATTATCTGTGTGTGGATAGGGGCCAGCTAGGTGGCAAAGTGGATAGAGCTCGGGGCCTGGAGTCAGGAAGATTCATTTTGCTGAGTTCAAATCCTGACTCAGACACTTACTGAGCTGTGTAACTCTGGGCAAGTCACTTAACCCTCTTTACCTCAGCTTCCTCATCTGTCAAATGAGCTGGAGAAGGAAATGGCAAACCACTCCATATCTCTGTCAAGAAAACTCCAAATGGCATCACAAAATGGCAGACATGACTGAAAAACAAAAATGTGTGAATAGAATATATGCTCCCTGAGGACAAGAGCTGTTTCATTTTTATCTTTCTATCCCCAGCATCTAGCACAGTGCCTAACACAGAGTAGGAACTTGATAAATTCTTACTGATTGATTTGATTAACTAGCTTTTGTGTGTTTTCCGTAACGGATTGTTGATTTCCTCTATACCTTATCATGTTTTTTTCAATCCCTTCCTCATTATTAGTCAGTTTCTAGGGAATGCAAATCTATTATAGTGACAACTCAAGGTAAATCTGCCTAAACGAATCCAGGGTGATTTTATTTATTATATTTATTATATTTATTTATTTATTTTTATTATTTACTTATTATATTTATTATATTTCGTATTCCCTACAGCATGGCTTCCCTGCTCATCAGGGTGGAGAGTCAAGAACTGACTTTTTGTGAGTCAGTGGAGGCATTGGGAACTTTTGTATATTCCATATATTCCAAGCATACCTAATCAAAATATTTGTCCCTCCTGAGTGTCTCTGGATGACATAGGCATTTTGGTGAATGGTTTGGGAATGGGGACCCTCTAAATGGGCAGATCTCAGCGTTCTGTTCTCTCCCTCCCCTCAACCTTCCCACTTCCCCCAGCTAAAAAATCACTTGCCCTCCCCACCAGGCTAGGAGCTGTTTGCAGAAGCTTCGGGAGGATATAAGCAGCAAGCTTGAGAGAGACTCAAGGGACTTTCCTCAGCAACAGGAGATGCAGGTAACTAATGGGCAATGTCCTAGCTCACTCCTAGCAGCTAGGTTCTCAGTGGAAAGATGGGATTGTATAGCAGTTAGTATTTATGGATCATCTTCTGTGAATCATGTGGTGAGAGGGGAGTTGAGTATGTAAACAGCCCTGTCCTCAGGGAGCTTAAAATCTAGGGAGCCAAGGCAAAGGTATGTATGCATGTGTATACATACACACATACACACACACACCCCATGCGCTGTCTCTTTCTGCATTCAGGTACGTACACATAGCTAGGTGTACCTCGTTATGCAATGTACTGGTTCCTAAAACATTATATAAAAGTTTAATTTTTGTAAATTGCATAATTTTCAAATTCACTAGGGAAGCTTGCTATTTAGAGAAATCCTATAATTGATGTGAAGTGATGAATTTTTTTCATATAGTAGAGAATCTCTCCTTAACCTCTTTTCCAAATTCAGATTTTCACATAGTGAATATATAAATAATGCAAAACTGCTAGTATAGCTACAGAGCTATTTTGTTCATTCATTCATTCATTTATTTTAATGAATTGGTAAAGGGAACTGTCCCCAGGAGAGATGTCCTTCCTCCACTATGCAGCCCTTCATCCTCTTGATTGGAGTCCGGTTTCTGTAAGAATAGCTGACACTTGTGTATCCCTTAAAGTTTACAGAGTCAACTCTGCAAATGATCTCCTTGAATTCTCACAGCAACCCTGTGAGAGGTTGATGCAAACAGGTGTTACCATCCCCATCTAGGTTCAAGGTTAAGTGTGACTTGCCCATTGGCCACCCAACTAGGAATTGGCAGAAATGGAGTTCAAGCTCAGGTCTCCCATGATAATAATGATAATAACGTATGTAACACCTAGTATGTGCCAGGCATTGTATTAAGCACTTTAAAATTATCTCTTTTGATCCTCACAACTATTCTGGGAGGTAGTGCTATTATTATCTCCATTTGACAGATGAGGAAACTGAAGCAAATAGAGGTAAAGTGACTTTCCCAAGGTCACACAGCTAGTACATGTCTGAGATGCTTCTGTCCATCACACTTCACTCTTAGCTGTTGTAACATCTTGGGTCCTGTATCCATTTAGCCCCCTTTGGGGGCCAATTCTAGCTATGTGGTCTAGTCACCAGGAAAGCTGTACCAATGCTAATCATGAACTTTCAGAGCTTGAAGGGAACCTTAGAGATTCTCTCTAGTCTAACTCCGTCATTTCATAGAGGAGAAAACTGAAGCTTGGAGAAGAAGAACATCTTAGCTAAGCTTCAGCAGCCGGTCAGCTCCCCTGACTCTTCTGACAAATCTCGCCTTCACTAACGGATGGGAGACATGGAACGGATCATCAAAACCATCCAAAAACAGCAGATAATGACAAAATAATTCCTGCTAAGTGTGGACCTTACGTGTGTGTGTGTGTGTGTGTGTGTGTGTCTGCAAACACACGTTAAATATATATGTATGATAATAGATTGTAGAATATGTATGTGAACACATTTTATATATGATGTAGATTGTAGAACATATATGTAAATACATGTATGATACAGATAGTAGAATATATATGCAAACACACGCGTGTAGTGTATAAGTATATTTATATGATAGAGACTGCCGAATATATATGCAAACACACAATATATAGTATATAGCATACAGATTGTGGAATATATAGCAGATACGTGTGTGTGTGTGTGTGTGTGTGTGTGTGTGTGTGTGTGTGTGTGTGTGTATGTATGAATGTATGAATGGTTCAGATTGTAGAATGTTAGCTCCTTGAGGGAACTGACTATGTCAGTTTTTCTAACACGTGCTTAATGCGTGTTGGTCGCTGAATTAAATATAGAATGCACATCCAGTCCAAATAGGAATATGTGTGTGTATATACATTGCATGTATATGTCTATAATCTGAGATAAAAGCACCATGTTCTCCTGATTACATGTTGTGTAGAGCACACATCTGGCTGCCGAGGGCAGTGGGTAGTCTGGTGCTTTGCAGGGAGGTAGGAAGAACCTAGCCTGGGCCTGAAACTTGGCCACAAGAATTCACCAGCAGATCCCTTTCAGAGCTGTTAACTTGTAAACCCACATCACTGCCCCCTTGTTCAGAAGCTCCCAAAACTCTATGGAGGAGATACCAGGCGGTGGGCTAGAATGCTGCAAATGCCGCTTTTCAATATTCTCTTCTCTCGGTGTGTGCCAGACTTTCTTGAAATTCCGGGGGCAGAGGAAAGTCTTGAGTGTTGGCTACAAGCAGATGCTTGTATTCAGTGAGCTTCAGGGACTGGGGCCAATTCATACCTTCCAAGCTGGGAAGGTTTTTGCTGCCTGTTTTTTTGAACGTACCAGTAAGCAATTAGATCATCCTGCTCTGCCTTCAACACCACCAGCCCTCCACCCCTTGCTTCCAGAAAGTCTAGAAAGACTTCTAAAGTCTTGGAGGGCTCTGATGTCTCTGAGAAGGCTGCTGCGTTGAGAAGGCTGCTCCGTGTCAGGGCTATGCCAGCCTCCTGACTTCTTTGTTTTCTTTGGATAGGTGCTATTGGAAGAGCCAAATGACTTCAGGCAGTCTTCCACTTCTCTGTACAAGACCCCCTCTGAGACCCTGGTAGGTAGCAAGAAAGGGAAGCTCCCTTGGGGACCCCGACACTGCTTCTTGTCTTGCTGGTGCTGGGGGCACAGAGAGGGCTCACCCAAGGAGCTTGGGGAGCCTTCCTTGTAGAGTGTTAGACATTCTGTTCTGCTGAGTTATTACAGGAAGTGGCCCTTTGTAGAGGCTGGGGCATGAGCCACGTGCTCTGGTGATGTCCAGTTTGAGGATGCGGTGAGTCTTTTCACCCCATTTAAATAGGAGTTGGGGAAAGGAGGGTAGAAAATAAGCATTTATGTGATGCCTATTATGTGTCACACTAAGCACTTTTGCAAATTTTATCTTATTTGATTTGATCCTCACAACAACCTGGGGGGTGGGGGTAGGTGCTTTTGTTACCCCCATTTTAGTTGACGAAAATGAAGCAGACTAAGGTTAGGTGACTTGCCCAGGGTCACACAACTAGTAACTGTCTGAGGCTGGATTTGAACTCGGGTCTTTCTGACTCTGTGCACACCACTATGCCACCAGCGGCCTGAATTGGCTTTTTGGAGCCTCCCTCCTCATCTCCTCCCTCCCCCACCTCCCCTTTATCTCTGCAGTTGACAGCTGTGTTGGGGTAACCAGTTATAATAATACCTTTTATTATTTATCTAGCCCCTTTCTTCTCACAGGCTGGAAGCTCTGCCACATGTTATCTCACTTATCTTTGTGGTAGCCCTGTGAGGCAGGGAGGGGCTGGTGTTCCTTCTCTCCATTTTGTAGATGGGGAAACTGAGGCTCAGAGAGGTTTAAGGGACCTGCTCCTTGACTTGGAACATCAAGGACTGGAGCACAGGGTTTTCTTCCTCCAGCTGAGGGCTTGAGGAGGGAGACCCGACCTCCTAGTAGCCCCTCGGAGGCTCAGGACTAAAGACCCTGGCATTGAGACAGCATAGTTTGGACTCATGATCTTACATGCCAGCTCAGCTCTAACCACCACCAACCCACGGCTGGGTGTGGCCAAGCTCAAGCTAGGCATTAACCCTTGATGGGCGAGTAGGGAGGAGAGGGAACGTCTCTTACTTCATAGCTAGTCACCAGCCCTCGAACTTCGCCTAACTGGCTGTTGGCAGGGGATGAAAAAGGCTTAAGAGACAATGCTCTAGATCAGGGGTGGGGAACCTTCCATCTTCAGGCCCATGTGGCCTTCTAGATCCTTAAGTGCGGCCTTTTGACTGAATCCAGATTTTGTTCTGTAAAATTTGGATTCAGTCAACAGGCTTCACTTAAGGATCTAGAAGTCCACATGGGCCTAGAGGCTGCAGATTCCCTGATTTGTTGTAAAATTTGGGTTTAGTCAAAAGGCCACACTTAAAGATCTAGAAGGCCACACGGGCTGAAGGCCGAAGGTTCCCCACCCCTCCTCTAGGTACATTCTAGTGTAACAGGAGAATTATAGTCCTGCCTAAGGGAGCTTCTAATATCACAGAGGGAAAGTATCCCCAACCTTGATGAGGGTGTCATTTGTCCCTGCCCTCAGAAAAGAGCAATATGATTGGGATGGGGATTGGGGGGCTGGGGGAGTTGGAACAAGACCTATACACAAACATAATAATAGCTTTTCTTTAAAAAACAAACGTGTATTTTGATTAAAAATTTTTTTTGCTTGCTATCTCAAGGAGGAAGGAGGGAAGGGAGTTTTTTGGAATTCAAAACTTTTGTTTATTTTTTATTTTTTTGGTGAGGCAATTGGGATTAAGTGACTTGCCCAGAGTCACACAGCTAGTGAGTGTTATGTGTCTGAGGCCGAATTTGAGCTCAGGTCCTCCTGCGTCCAGGGCCGGTGCTCTATCCACTGTGCCACCTACCTGCCCCCAAAACTTTTAAACATGGTAAGAATTGTTTTTACATGTAATTGGAAAAAAATTATTCAAAAATATTTTTAACATTTATTTTTTAAAATTTTGAGTTTGAAATTCTCTCCCTCCCTCACCCATTGAGGAAGGCAAACAATATGATCCCCATTAAACATGTGAGGTCACGCAAGCCCTATTTCCATTTTAGCCTAGAATAATTGATATGTGACACCTTAAAGTTTATAAAACACTTTATATGCCTCATCTCATTTGAGCTTCACACAGACCTCGTAAGGGGAGGAGGCATTGTTACCAACAGGCATTATCTTCATTTTACATGAAACTGAGGTGTAGAAAGTTTTGGTGACCTGCCCATAGTCATACAGCTGGTAAGTGTCAGAGTCAGGATTTGAACCCAGGCCTTCCTGACTCCAGGTCTAGCTCTCTGGTCCCTCTGTGTGCTACTTCCCTCATGACAAAAGACATAAGCATGTTTCATAAGAAATACTTTTGTAGGGACAGTTTAGTGCCATGTTGAAAATGGATCTAAATGCTCGGGAGACCTGGGGTGAAGGGGCAACCTGGAGGTGGATTGGGCTCATTGAGGTTTGAAGGGAGCCTGCTTTGGTCCATCTGGTGTCTCCGGCAAGTTCTTTTATTAGGGTGGAAGTCCTTTGTAGGGGGTGGGCTAGCAAGTACGTCTGTTTCCCCAAGTCTCGAGGATAGTTGCGTTAACTTTTGGGCTTTTCCTTCCTTTAATGTTGGTGCTTGGTTACAGGCGCAAGGCTATCAAAATGAAGACTCCGAGAGCTTGAAGAAAACCATCCAAGATCTGCGTGATAAGCTGCAGGAGGCTGAGAGGCAGCAGCAGTCAGACAAGGCGCATTTCGAGGTGAGGATTCCGTAGCCCGCCTGCTGCCCATCTTTCCAGCCCATAACTTCCCTCTGTCTGATCTCCATCTTGCTCGTTCCCCTCCACGCATCATTCCATCCTCTGCTTTCTTCAGTTTGCACAGATGGTTCTGGCCCGTGTCTGGAATGCGCGCCTTCCTCACCTCAATTGTCAATGAGTCCAAAGTCATGGAATGAATGCAGCTTTGGGTTCAGAACCTAGCTCATGAGCTGCCTTGTACACAGTGATTTTCATGATTTCCCCCAGCTGTGTTAGTATTCTCTTTCAAATGAAATTATCTTATTTGTACTTTCTGTGTGTACATGTGTGCATCCCCCTCCCCTCCAGTAGAAGGTAAACTTCTTGAGGGCAGGGACTGGTTCCCAACATGCCTGGCAAAGTGCCTTGGGTACATGTAGAAATAGATGCTGCTGCTGATAGCTTGTTTCTGACTCGTCAGGACTCCATATGGGGTTTTCTTGGCAAAGATGCTGGAGTGGTTTGCTGTTTCCTTCTCCAGTGGGTCAGGCAAATGGAGGTTCAGTGACTTGCCCAAGGTTGCACAGCTAGTGAGTATGTGAGGCCAGATTTGAACTTGAGTCTTCTGACTTCAGGCCCTGTGCTCTATCAACTGAGCTACCTCGCTGCCTCCAGACAGAGCATTTTTCTTCTTCTTTTTTTTTTTTTTTGGTGAGGCAATTGGGGTTAAGTGACTTGCCCAGAGTCACACAGCTAGTGAGTGTTATGTGTCTGAGGCTGTTGAACTCAGGTCCTGCTGACTCCAGGAATGGTGCTTTATCCACCGCACCACCTAGCTGCCCTCAGACGGAGCATTTCTCGAGTGCTTACTCTGTGCCAGGAATTGTGCTAAGTAAGGGGGTACAGATATAAACAAGCAGGGCAATGATGCTTGAGGACTCCATTATAGGATCTGAGGAAGTAACTGAGTGATGGGTCACTTGCAGCAGGAGGTGGGGGGCTTCCACAGTATCTGCCATACCCTTCTCTTGCCTGATGCCACCATATGGAAAATCAGGGGAATGGTGTGAGGAGTATCTGCCCTATCCCAATCTTCCTTCTCTTGGGCAGGTATGGTCACCGTTTGCTCAAGGATCTTGGTGCTACTTTGATAGTCAGCAGTTGAGTCTGTGCTTTTTGAAGGGGAGGGAGCAGTAACAAGGAATCGTCCCAAACAATGGGTAACCCCAAAGTCATTTCTGTTTGACACAGGTATACATTACACTTTTTAGCAGACTTTTCTTCCCAAATACATTTGACGTAGACTAATATGAAAATGAGTTTGCAGTCCCTGTGCACCAAGTCGCTTGGCATTGAGCTTGAGCCGTAGGTAAGGTTGCCAGGTGCCATTTCCCCAGATCTGAGGGGACCAGGCATTTGCTATTTGCTATTTCCTTCTCCAGTGGACCAGGCAAATGGAGGTGTAGTGACTTGCCCGAGGTCTAGGAATAGACCACGAGGTAGAGCTGCTGCTGCAGGAAAACAAGACTCAAGAGTCCAGCTTCACGCTGAGTCAAGAGAACTTCAGGGATTCTTGCTGACTTCCCAAGAAACTCTTGTCCAACACCAGCCAGTTAGACTATCTGTCTTCGGAGTGTCTGACAACCAGACTCCATTCTCTCCTGAACAGATAGATCAGTGCTGACCGAGGGTCTAAAAATTGAGCCCTGGAGGTCCTCATGGGAATGAATGAATGAAAAACTGTTTAATAGGCACTTGCTAGGTGGTATACTTGATAGAGAGCTGGTCTTGGAGTCAGGAAGACCTGAGTTCAAATCGTGCCTCAGACACTCACCAGCTGTATGATTCTGGGCAAGTCACTTAATCTCTCTCAGCCTCAGTTTGCTTCTCTGTAAAATGGGAATAATAATAATAATAACAGCACCTACCTCCCAGGGTGGCAGTGAGGACCAAAGGAGACAATGTAATGTGCTCTGCAAACCTTAAAGCGCTCCAGAGATATGTACTGTACTTTGTGCCAAGTACAGCGCGGAGCCTTGGGGATAGAAATGCCAAAGCAAAGACGGTCCCTGCCAGCTAGAAGCTTATATTCTAATGAGAAAGACAGGGGACAGCTAGGTGGCGCAGTGGATAGAGCACCAGCCCTGAAGTCAGGAGGACCTGCGTTCAAATCAGAACACTTGACACTTACTAGCTGTGTGACCCTGGGCAAGTCACTTAACCCCAACTGCCTTAAGAAAAAAAAAAGAAAAAAGAAAGTGACCACAAACATAAGGGAGTGGTGGTCTGGAGGTACGCTTTGGTCCTGAATGTTGCAGAGATTGTGAATGGGACTGTGGGAGAGAAGTTGACACACTCCTTCCAGATACGGGGGCAGAAGTGATTTGATCATGGTTATAGATAGAGCTAGAGGCAGGAAAGACAGTAATAGAGTAGCAAGACTTTTGAGAATGGAGTGGGCACTGCCCATTCCTGCTCCTGGAATAGTTGGGGTTGTCTTCCATGCTTATTGGATTCTGCTTTGGCAGAAGTTCCAGTTTAATGCAGAGTAAGGGAACAATTAAGGAGCTGACTTCTGCCTCAGTTTCCCCTCTCTCTAAAATGATTTTTTTTCCTGGAATGATCAGAGATGAATATAGAGTTTTATTTGTGATTTCATTCTAAACAGAGAGATTTTTTTTAATGGTGTCAGCTTGTTTATGAGGCACCAGCCAGATTTTGCTTTCACTGTCTTAAAATGGAAAAGGCAACCCAAGGGGGCAGAGCTAGATAATCTCTAAGGTCCTTCTGTCTTTTACACTCTCTACTGCTATTTTAAGGGTGGAGAAGGGATGGAGCCTGGGGCTAAAAATTTACTGCCTATCCGAGCGGATAACCAAGAGTTGATTATGTATCAGGATGGCTATTAATTAGCTCCTCTGAGCGTAACACCAGGAGGAAGAGGAGTCTGAGGCTCAATGGACTTCTTTCCCTGGGAGGGATTGTTAAACCTTGTCTGTTACTGCTGACCAAGGGAGGTTGGAGATTATTTAGAAGAAAGAGAGCTTAATCAGTTTGGGCCCTGTGAGCATGGGAGAGGCCTCTACCACAGCAGTTTTTATCTGGATTGACAACCCTCCTTGGACCACATAAAAGTGGCCTGAGTGAAAATACCCAGCTCCATTGGCCAGCAGCTGGCCTTTTCTTTTGCAGGCTCAGTGTTGACAGAATAATTCAAACACAGGGTTCTATTTATACACCAGCAATAGAATGTGCTCTTTCAATTATGTATTTTCAGTGATGGGGATGGATTTGTGAGTCCTCTTTGTGACTTAATGACAGCCACTGGGATTGAGAGTGAAGTGAGACCTTGGAATAGAGATATTTCTTTCCTTCATGTGGGAAACTATGGGCTCCCCTGGGATTAGATCTGTAACCTTGACCTTGTCAACACCATTTAGTGCCATTCTGCAAGCGTGTATTAAACCTTTACTGTGTGCCAGGCACTGCTAGGTGATAGGGGTACAAAGACAAAAACAAAAGAATCCCTGTCCTCAAAAAGCTTACATTCTTTTAGAGGGGTACAAGAGGTATATGATTGCTGGGGGAGGGGATATGAGGACAATACCAACTCCTGGGTGAAATCAATGTAGTTTAGAGAACTCTGGGCTTTAAGTCAAGAAGACCTGAGTTTGAATCCTGCCTTACTCAGTCAGTAAACATCTATTAAATGTCTGCTAAATACTATTCACTGTGCTAAGTGCTGGGGATACAAAGGAAAGCAAAACAGTCAATAGTCATTTGATCATGGACAATCCTAACCTCTCTTTTAAGCCTTACCTTTTACCCATCCATGAAATGGGGATAATAGTAACACCTATCTCCTTAGTGGTGGTAGTAGTAGTAGCTATAGTAATAGTGGTAGTGGTAGTAGTAGTAGTAGTAGTAGTAGTAACCTCAGTAGTGGTGGTAGTGGTAATAGTAACTTTGTAGTAGTGGTAGTAGAAGTAATGTTGGTGGCAGTATTAGTAATAGTAGTAATGGTGGTTATAGTGACCTTAGGAGGAGGTAGTGGTAATAACCTTAGTAGTAGTGGTTGTGGTGATGGTGGTGGTAGTAACCTTGATACTAGGTAGTAGTATTAGTAGCTATATTTGTAGTAGGGGTGGTAATGGTAGTATAGTAGCATTAGTAGTATAGTAGTAATAGTAGTGGTAGCAGGAAAAGGTCTTGTATTAGGAGGTGGCACCTGAGCTGAGACTTTAAGGAGCCCGAAGATTCCAGCAGCCAGAAGTGAGGAAGGAGAGAGAGCATTCCAGGCATGAGGGATAGCCCTCTATAGAGCCCAAAGGCAAGAGTTGGAGCGGCCCATCCAGGGACTAGCACAGAGGCTGGTATGGCTGAGACGTAGTCTATGGAGGGTAGTAATGTGAAATAAGGTTGGTAAGGGATGGGTCTGAGTGACTGAGAAAACCAGGCCAGATGTTTTCCCTCCAGAAGTTAGAAGACAAGAGAAACTTATTTGGGTATCATGGTCATTTGCTAGTTGTCTTACCCTGATCTTTTCTAACAAAGACACTTTCTTGATTTATGTTTCTGGTTCAGAGAACGAATGAGAAGGGAGAGAGAGAGTGCGTGCGTGTGTGTGTGTGTGTGTGTGTGTGCGCGCGCACGCACAATCAAGATGCACAGTCATCTTGAAAATCCAATAGCATCCATTCACTGTTACCAGGTGGGATTTGCTACTAGAGATCTTTCCTTGATAGCCAAAAACAGGGGAGATAACATGGCAAAAGAAAACCACCTGGATACTAAGCCTCTCTTTCGCCTCCTCCCTAAACTTGACCTGGGGAGGAGCTGGACCTGCCTGTTATTCCACCTTCCCTACTTCTGGCCAGGTCCTTCAGAGGCCATCTGGTTCTTTCCCTGGACCCAGCCCAGCCTGGGTCATTTTATATCAGAATTGCAGTGAAGTGTCAAGAACCTTGAGCTTGGGGGCAGGACATCCAGTTTCTACGCCTCACTGTGCCTATCAGCGGTCATACTTAAGGCAGGTCACTTCATGTGTTTTTATCTTTAAAATGAGCAGGTTACGATAAATGAGCTTTCTAGTCCTGAGCCAGTCTAAAATGTTGATTTTCTCTTTTACTTGAAAAAGAAAAGAAAGAAAGGAATACCCCTTTCGATATCATTCCCCCACCCACTCAATCAATACTTAGGAAATTCTTCCTAGTATATAATTTCAGTCTTTCCATATGCTGTTTTGGAATTGAAAAAGCACTAGAAAAGTACTGTGAGGGGCAACTAGGTGGCGCAGTGGATAGGCCTCTGGCCTTGGAGTCAGGAGGGCCTGAGTTCCAATCCCGTCTCAGACACACAGCACATAACACACGGCACTTATTAGCTGTGTGACCCTGGGCAAATCACTTAACCCTGATTGCCTGGCCAAAAAAAAAAAAAGCACTGTGTAATTTATGCATGGCGTAGGAAGTCTGTTAAGAGGGGAGAAGAGGGTGGCAGAGAGGAGAAAAAGACTTGTTGGAAGCTGTGCAGGTAGGTCATGAGTCCCAGAAGTAGAATTCGAACCCAGACCTTCCTGCTTCCAGGTCTAGCACTCTGTTTCTTAGACCTGTTCCCCCTCATGAAAAGCCTCAGTAGGTACAGTTGAACCTGGTGCCAAGCATAGACCTGGGGCACAGGGACCATTAACAGTGGATTAGGTTCTTTGGATTTCGTGGGCTTGTCTGGAAGGGGAGTCAGTCCTGATGTTCCAGTGTGGATTCCCTCTCTGTGAGATGCAGGGATGATCCTAGCCTGGCTTATCTGCCTCTCAGTCAGAAAGGGGGCAAGTGCGGCAGTATGAGCATTTGTGGACTTTGGGGAGTCCTATGTGTTTGTATACTCTCTGCTGAGAATGGGTTTTGGCTAATAAGCAGACTACCGTCTCTGTCTTTTACCTTTAAACTTAATCTTAACGTGATGGGCATTGGGGAGGGTATGGCTAGGGGAGGAGAGCCCCAGAGGTTTGCGTTCAGGGACACTTCTTGAGGACAAGAATTGTTTTAGTCTTGTCTTTGTATTCAACCCCAGTGCCTAGAACAGTGCCTGGCACAGGAAGTATGTAACAAACACTTGTTAGCTCATGGAGCTCAGCTCTGGCCCACTGAAGTTATTGCGAAACGGGTAGGAGAACAGCCTTGTTTCTCTTTTGTCCCATCCTTCCAACAAGTGCCATGCAGTTTCCTTGTTCAGGCTTTACTTTTTCTGTTAAATCGTCCCCTGTTTTCTCAATAAGCCAGGTTCATCACCTCTGAGCTCTTGACACTTAGCCATTCCTCAGCCCTACTGTATCTAGCCACTTACCCTATGTTGAGTTTTAGCCACCTCTTTCTCATCCCTTTCCTTCTTTCCCCTTTCACTGTAAGTAGCCTGGTTCAGGGCCTCATCACTTTTGCCTCGACTATTGCAACAGCTTCTCAACCGGTCTCATTACTTCCCTCCCCTTCTCCTTTTCAGTGCATCTTCCACACATGTCTGACGACATCACTTTCCTCTTGTTAGGTGGCTCTAACTCTGCAGTGTGGTGTATGAACCTCTGCCATAATCTGGCTCCCACCTGCCTTTCCAGACTTACATTACTCTCCTTCACGTACCATATTCTAGTCCAACTGTTCCACTCCCTGTTCTCCAAACTCAACATGTCATCTTTGGACTTCCTGCCTTGGTCTGGAATGCGCTTCTTCCTCACCTCCTCAGAATCTCTAGCTTTCCAAGGGGCAAGGGACACATACACACACACACACACACGCACACACACACACACGCGCACGCGCACACACACACATACACACACACACACACACACACACACACACACACACACACACACACACACAAATATATGCCACCCTTTACATGGACAGACTCCTCCTTCCCTTCCCTTATTTACTTGTCTGCGTCTATGATGTGTCTCCCTAATAAAACGTCAGCTACTTAACGGCAGGGACAGGTTTATTTTTGTCTTTTCGTCCTCTAGTGTTTAGCACAGTGACTTGGGCAGAATAGGCACTTAACACATACTCTGACTTGAATGGCATTCTACTGTGCTCCCCTGCAGATGTCTGTGGAGTGAGTTTTTCCCAGTTACCAAGTGACCATTCCATATTTTAGGCCACACTTAGCCGGTACCAGAGAGAGGCTGAGACGAGCAGTTCTGCCCTTCAGAGAGCCGAGAGCAGCTTGGAGCAGAAAGATGCAGAAATTCTCAAGCTTCAGAGGTGCATGCTGGGGATGGAGAAGGTGACTATTGAGCTCTTTTGGATTTCAGGTCCTCAGGGATGGGAGGCACCTTAAGGTACGACCCTAGTCCAACCCCCTGCCTTAGGGCATTTCTGCTGACCTGCACATTCAGAGAGAGCTACCTTCTTTTTAAAGGGTCCCAGAAATGGCCATTCCCCAACCTCCCTGGGTAGGTGCTTCCTTGCTTCTTTCCATGTTTGAAGGCCAGGAAGTTCTTTCTCCTGTCTCCCTTCAGCCTCCCCTGTTACTGATTTCCAGCTTGTACAGGATCTCCCTTCTGTAGGCTTGGAGACTGTTCTTAAGTTGGTGCTTGGTGCTGGGGCAGTGGCAACCAAAGTTGGCAGATGAATCTGTCCTGGATTCATCGGGGCCGGGCTTTCCCAGAGGGCAGAAGGGTGAGGCCGGGAGGTTTCTGAGCCCAGTTACTAGAGGAGGGCGGGAGGGACGGGTTCTGGATTTCAACAGAAGGCACCCCATGAAACTAGCTTGGCCTGCTTGCTCCCTGTTTGGCAGCCGGCCTTAGTCCCTACCATAGGATTCCCCCTGGACCAACTACGGAGGCAGACACCTTCCCCTCGTCCCAACTTTGCCTTCCTTGCCCTGCCTAGGAACAACAGAACTTACTGGAGAAGGTCAGTGAAGGGGAGACGGCCCTGGAAGAGCTTCGGACCTGGAGAGCTGACTGCCTTGCCGAGCAGGAAAAGTAAGGGCGCCTGCTTGCTCACTGTGCAGTTGGGGCGGGGGTGTTGCACTGTGGTGGCTCTCACAAGGGCCAGATTTGGGGTGGGAACTGCTGCTGCTGCTGATGTCACACCTTCCTGGTATGACTCATCCACATGCTTCTTTAGGGTGTGGCCTATTCCTAGGGAGAGGACACTGCATCTGGGAGCCGGGACCCTCTTTGGGGAGGTGGTTAGCTTGGGAGTCACCACCTCACAGGGAAGCTCTGGGCGTTCGAGCCACGGTTAAGAGTTATTGATTAACTGCCGAGAGTTTAATTAGGCTGTGGGCCTACCTGTCATAAACCTAGCACAAAATAAAACCTGATTTGTGCATAAGAGAGGTGCAGAGTAATATGCATCATCGACACAGATATTAAATACCAGTTGTCTGCAACACACCCTGCCAGGTGCTAGAAGAGATACAAAATTTGGATATGATAGAGACCCTTCCCTCAAAGAGTTTATAGGATGTGTGAGGTCCACAGGGAGCAAAGGCATCACCGATGGGGGGGGGGGAGTCAAAGAAGGCTTCCTGGAGGAAGTGACATTTGAAATTGGCTTTAAAGGACAAAAGCATAAGTTTTTAGTGAGAAAGGGGTAGAGGGCAGGTAAAGTACAGATCATGTATGGCATACAAGTAATAGTCCAGTTCAGACCAATCCTAGATAGAGAAAGGATTGTCCTGAGAAAAATATGGAGAGGCACTATTTTTGTTAAGTCATTTTTCCAACTCTCTGTGACCCCATTTGGGGTTTTCTTGGCAGAGACCCTGGAGTGGTTTGCCATTTCCTTCTCTGGCTCATTTTCCAGATGAGGAAACTGAGGCAAACAGGGTTAAGTGACTTGCCCAGGGTTACACAGCTAGGCCGGATTTGAACTCGGGGAGACATCTTTTGGCTCCAGGCTTGGCACTCCGTCTCCTTCACCACCTGGCTGCCCCACAAAAGAACACTGCTGAACAACACCAAAGGCAGTTGTGCAGGGCCTTACGTTGCAGGCGTCAGAATTTGAACTTTGATTTGGTAAATCCATTGAAGGATTTTGATTAATGAAGTGGTGTGGGCCAGATCTTCACAAATGGAAAAGAAGTTTGACTGCAGAGTAAAGGACGATGTGGAGGGTGAATGTGAGTGGAAACAGAAAGACTTGTTTATGGAACTGCCTGTCACTGGAAGGGTGCCAAGGGTGATTGTATGGGTCACCTGAGGCGGTATGATAGAGTGGGAGAAGGGAGTCTTCATTTGCAATCCTGGCTCTGAAGCGTAAGAGTATGTGGTCTTGGGCAAAATCACTTTATCAATGGTAATACAAAGATTAAAAACTTCCCTGAAGAGTTTACTTAGCAGGAAGTGGGAGGAAGCATGGGGCTGGGTTGGTGTGGTAGATTTAATATATGCACAGCTAAACACGTACAAAGTCATTTCAAAAAGGAGAGGGAACTGATAAATTGGGATTAGGAAAGGCCTCATAATAGGAAGCAGAAAATGAGCAGAGCCTTGAAAGAAGCTAGAAAAGGTATATTTAACCAGCAGAGAGGCAAAAGAAGGGATTTTAACAATGATTGGGAAAGTAAATTCAAATTATCTCTAATTTAATTAATAATAAATAATAATGAATAAACTACCTTCTACTTTCCTTATAATCAGGGGGACAGAGAAAGCCTATATCATTGAGCCATACAGAGTAATACCAAATTAGGCCACTCTGAGCCCTAGGCCACTGAGGAATTTCTGGCCTCTATGTGCTATAGGCCATAAACAGTAACAGAAATAAACTCTCAACTGATGAAACTGTTGAATCACAGATCCAGTTTAATGTTATGTTGGATATAGTCTAAATTATAATTTTTTTTTGCCAGTACATCATAATTCCAATCACAGTCTTTAAGGATAGAGCTTTCTTGAGGCCTTTATCCTGGTGTTCCTGGCTCTAGATCTTAAATTTAGGTCAGCCATGGAAAATCTAAACATTTTATTTTTAGGCCTTTGCTTTCATCATCTGCCTCCCTGACCTAGTCTGTTTCCTGAGTAGGTCAGAAACTCAAAGATCTAGGGGAAAAAAAAAGAATCTCAAAGATCAACTAAGTTATTTTGAATTATTTTCTTTCCTTTCCTTCCTGTATTGGAGGCTTGAGTTAATAGAAGCATAAGAGGAAAAAACCAAAGAGCCTGTATAAATCTATATGTGATTATTTGGTTATTAGGGATTTTAGAAGAAAGAAGGGAGGAAGAGAAGGAAGGAGGAAAGAAAGAAAGGGGAGGGAAAGAGAAAAAAGGAAGGGGAAAAAAGAAGGGAGGAAGGGAGAGAAAGAGAAAGGAAGGAAGGGAAAAGAGTAAAGAAAGGAGAAAGAAAAGAGGAAGGAGGTCCCATTTACATTGTTTTAGTTACTGTCCGTGTTGTTTTGTCGGCTCTGCTTACTTTATTCTGCACCAGTATGTATAGATCTTTCTGTGCTTCTCTCTATTCATTCATTACATTCATCATTTCTTTTTGGGTTTTTTTGTTTGTTTGTTTGTTTTCCAGACAAAGACAAGGTTTATTAGAACATCCATCATATTGGGCAGACTCTTAAGGAGCCTGAACATTAGTGAGCTATTGGCTAGACTTTAAGAATGTGAGCAGGGGCTAGATTTTAAGAATCTAAGCCCATCATTTCTTACAATACAATAGTATTCCATTACATTCATGTGCCACGATTTGTTTAGCCATTCCCCACTTGATAGATATCTACTTTGTTTCTCGTTCTTTGCTATCAAAAAAAAAATTGCCACTATAAACACTTTGGTATTTATGGAGACTTTCTTCTTATGCTTTCCTTGGGATATAAGCCCAGTGATGGAATCTCTGAGTCAAAAATAGGGGCATTTTAACAATTTTATTGACATGATTTCAAATTGCTTTCCCAAATGGTCGTACTAATTCACAGCTCCACCAGGAGTGTGGCGGAAAGTCTATCTTTCCACGATCCCTCCCCACATTGACTCTTGCCATCTGTTGTTACCTTTGCTGATTTTCAGGATATGAAGTGAAACCTCAGAGGGTTTGATTTGCGTTTCTCTTATTGTTAATGAATTGGAGCATTCTCTCCTGTGGTTGTGAATACTGTGTACTTTCTTCTCTCGAGTGTTCTCAAGATGTTTGTTCATGCCCTTTGAACATGTGTGTGTTGTGTGTGTGTGTGTGTGTGTGTGTGTGTTTATTATTGTTAGCTTATATTTCTCTTGGATGTGAAGCCTTTATCATAGAAATCTGATACAAAGATTTTTTCCCCTGCTCAACCACTCTCCTTATTCTAGATGCATTAATTTTGTCTGTGCAGAAGTTTTTTGTTTTTATGTAATTAAAGTTATCTGTTTTATCTTTTGTAATCGTCTCTGGCCCTGGTTTGGTTAAGAATACATCTCCTATCCATGACTGTGAGAGAGATTTTAATTGGTCTTCCTTCCTCACTGGTTTCTGTCTCCAAATCATCCTTGACTCGGCTACCAAGGTGATTTTCCTAAAGCATGGGTCTGCCCATGTCTCCCACACACACAACCCAGTCAATAAGCCTGGGGGCTCCCTACCATCTCCAAGATCCAATACAAATCCTCTGTGGCATTTCAAACCCTAAGTCCATCCGTCAAAGGGCTTCACTTAAGGATCTAGAAGGCTGCAGATTCCCCACCCCTGAAGTCCTTTCCTACCTTTCAAGTCTTAGATTTTACCTATAAGCCAACTACAGTGGCCCACTTACTAGTTCTCACCAGAGCTAGTGCTCTATCCACTGCACCATTTAGCTGCCTACATGTGTAAAAACCACTTATATTACAGATATATAAGATCTTATCTATAATGTACATGCGGAATAGGCACATGCCCCGCAGACTTCAGTCATACTTCACTCCCTGCTCTGCCATCTTCTCTGCCCTGCTCCTCCCCCACTCTCTAGTTCTGGAACTATAATCAAATCAACCCTTCCCTCTAGCACGGATGTGTCATCCTACTTATCATCCTAGTAACTTTCTGGACCGATTGGGCCCCCTCCCTGGCCACCACTCCTCAAAGTCTACTCTATGAGAATGTAAGTTCCTTAAGGGCAGGAATTAGCTTTCCTCGTCATTTGTAACCCAGGGCTTAACACATAAGTGCTTAATAAATGCTTTTTTATTCATATTAATATGTTATTAAACCATTTTAACAGTTAGCCATATAAAATGCAGATTTTTCCAAATAAAAGAAGTTTGAGAAGAGAAGAATAGAGAATTAAGGTGGAAAAAGAAGTTTTGGAGCTTAAACCCCTTGGCTTATCTTGTCTTTGGGACAAAATCTTATATTTCTAGGTTTTAGGTATCTCTCACTGTTAGCCCAAAAAGAGGTTGGGGTACAGCTACAACATAGTGGAACCTTCCATCAGGCTGTCTAGTTTGGTTTCCCAATGGGGTTGGACTCCCTCACCTTGTGAAAAACAAAAAATAAGAGTCGGCTGTGTTTGTGCTTCTGAGACATAGGGAAATAGCAGCCTGCAGGCTGCAGCCTCATGGAACATTCTTCTCAAGTGTCTTGGCCTTCTGGGGATTTTTGGTTCTGTCTGCTTTGAAGATACCATGTGTTACAGTAGAATATCTGCTGGTCTAAAGGTTAGAAGCCTTGGGTCAGTCTTGGCTGAGGCTCTCAGCTTTATGACCTGTACTTTAGTAAGTCACTTCTGATGAGACCTTACTTTCCTCATCCAAAAATGAGGAAGAGGAGGGGGCTAGGTCCTCTGAGGAAGGAAAATGTTGCTAGTCCTCCAAGCAATAATATAATAGAACCACAGCAGCTATTGGGTGAGAGATCCTCCAGGAACGGTCAGAGGAAGACGTGGTACTGAGGCAATTGTTGGTTGACCTGAAAACTACCCACAATAGACCTATTTTCTTCCTGGGGGATGTATCCTATGTGTCCAAGATATAACAGAGTCTTCCAAGACTTAAGAAAATGGGTGACTTAAAAGATAACA